ATTGTGAATCTAAACTCAAAAAAGTTAATGATATATTGTTTGAGCAGAGTAGTATTTTCACGTTAATTTCTTATCCTCTTTGGACCTATGTTCCTCACAGTAATCTACCTTAAGTTTCATTTAATTGACATTTAACATTGTCAAGGATAGATAGACTCATAATATTGTGTTACTGACTGAGGTGAACTCAGCTAAACTAAATCAAATATTTTCAAGTACACACTTACATGGAAGGGGAAGAGGTCAGTGCTCAGTCTACATAAAGTTATTTATTTCAATGCTTCCCCTGCTTATCTGATTTTAGGTCTATTTTTCAAATCTCATTCCAGGCTTATTGATCATCTTCAGTGCTTTTCTGGCCTTTTCAGAGCTTAGAGCCAAACCTAAGGCCAAAATGAGGACACAAAATAGGACACATTTGGTAATCCATGTACCCTTAGCCTTTCTATCACACTGTTTAAATATTAGAAGTACAGTATATGTAGTTAACCATAATGAACATTTAATTATATACACTTATGTGTAAGTTCACATACATTAAGACACAGATTTGATCATAAGTGGCCCATGCTCTAACCATTAGGCTTGACAGCATCACTCAGAGTAGCATAAAACTTCTTGTTTTCACATAATAATGGAATGGAAAATGAAAATCTATATTCTTCTTTGTGCTTTGTACTCTTTACACAAGACAATGATTTTGTCTTATCCAAGCTACAGTCTTGGATGGCTTTGTTTTTCTAAAGTTTGCAAATAAATAAATCGATTTATAGGTACACATGAACTGGGCAAATATACGATCCCAGACAAGGTGATTTCTCTCAGATTTTTTTTAACCAATTAATATTTGGTATAACATATGGCTATTTTCAGACTCTTATCAGAAGATGGTTGTATATTCCTCTCTAAAATTTCTGACAAGTGTAATGATAGCATCAATATTTTGGAAATGGTGACTTTCTCTGATTTTTTCAAGCCATGGATCAGGTGTTTTATCCTTGCAGTCTTCTTAACTCTCTTTTAATATTGCATCCCTAGAAACAAATTTGCTAATTTCTCTACATTATGCAATAATTCAAGGAAAAATTTAACCAGTCTGATAAGTATAACCAAACAGTTTAAGCTTGCCTAGATCCCTTTTCTGTACACATAAATTATTTAGCCTGAATTGCTGTATTATTATCTTAATTCCCTGCAAACATCATTAGAATGACTTTTATATCTTTTTTCCATTTTTATAAAAATCAAACTTTTTCCAGTTTAAGATCTCCTTTCCCTCCCTTCTTTCAGTTATTATTTTGGCATTTGAATTCATCAGTATGGACGGACACACTTACACATACCCCTGTAAGTGAAGTTTGTGATGGGTGTGGTATATAGGCAGAGAAATATGTCAGGATTATGTAACCTACCTGTTGGACTACAGAAGTAAAGTCAATATGAAATCCTGAATGCTTATCTTCATCGTCTAAAGGTTTTTGTCTCTGAACTTCAAAAGACAACGGTATATAAAAGTATCCCTTGATGGGTGACATAAAGGAGAAACCTCATTTGGTTATTTCAGAGTCCTCAGGGACCGGCAGTAAGAAGTAATTGGGATTGTTCAAAGACACTTTTGCCACTGCAGAGCATGAGAAATCATTTTTCACCTCTCAAACTGACAGTATTTTAAAGACATCAATAAATAATCAAGAGAGTATTGAAAGATATCACTAGCTGTGAATTGTGAGTTTTTTGTATGATGTTTGTCTTGGCTGTAGTTCCTTTTCTACAGTAAACATTTATGATTGTTCTATTCAGGCAAAATATGACTATTCAGTCTAGATAATTTTAATTTTAAATCTTATTAAAAGTGAACTTTTCCCATGCTTTAACTTTAATCTCTTGGAATTTATTGATAAAGGATGTGAGATAATTATTTATATCATTGTAATTAAGTAAGTTAATTCCACTGAATTTTATATTTCCTTTTCCATTTAAAGATATGTGTAGACAAGTCTGCTTCAAGTTTACCCATTTTTCTCCTTTTTAAAAAATGAACTGTTTTTTAGAACAGGTTTAGGTTCACGGCAATATTGAGAAAATGCTATTTTCCATACATGTGGTATTTTCCTTCACACATGCATAACCTACCCTATAATCAACTTATTGGACTATGGTGCATTTGTTACAAATGATGAACCTATGCTGACATATAACTGTCACTCAAAATCCACACTTCACACTGTAGTTAACTCTTGATTGTACATTCGATGAATTGGGACAAATCTATAAGGATATATAGACATCATTATAGAAGCATATGGATTAATTTCATTGCCATAAAATCCCCTCTGTTCCATCTAGTCTTCCTTTTCCCCCTCTATTCACTGACAACTACAGACCTTTTCCTGTCTCCATATGTTTTCATTTTCCAGAATGCCACATGATTGGACTTATAGAATATGTAAACTTTTTAGATTGGCTTTTCATTTAGCAATATGCATTTTTCTCCAAGCTTTTCATGGCTTCCTAGCTTGTTTATTTTTATCACTGAATAGAATTCCGTTGTCTCAATGTATCATAATTTATTTAACCATAAGCCTACTGAAGAACATCTTGGTTGGTTTCAAGTTTGGGTACTCATAAAGAAAATTGCTCTGAACATCTGTGTGCATTTTTTTCTGGATTGTTTTCAGTGCGTTTGGGTAAATACAAAGGAACACAACTGCTGAAACATAACTGTAAAAGTATGCTTAGTTCTGTAAGAAACCACCAATTGTCTTCTGAGGTGGCTGTACCATTACCATCCCACCAGCAACGAATGAGAATTCTCGTGTTTCCACATCCTTGCCAGCACTTGGCGTCATCGGTATTCTGGAATTTGACCATTCTCATAACTGTGTAGTAGTGTTTTATTACTGTTTAATTTGCATGATCCCGATGATACCTGATGTTTGACTTCTTTGGTGAGGTGTTAGTTAAGGTCTTTGCCATTTTCAAAATAGGACTGTTTATTTTCTTATTTTGAGTTTTAAGAGTTCTTTTTATATTTGGATAGTGGTCCTTTTCGGATATGTATCTCACAAATCTGTTCTTCATCTGTGGCTAGTGGTTTCATTCTCTTGACATTGTCCTTCAGAGAGTAGCATTTTTTAAATTTTAATCAATCCAGCTTACCAGTTCTGTCAGAGACTGTGCCTTCAGTGGTATATCTGAGAAGGCATTGCCTAGCCCAAGGTCATCTAGATTTCCTCCTATGTTATCTTCTATGAATTTTGTAATTTTACATTTTATGTTGAATCCTGTGATCTATTTTGAGTTAATTTCAGTGATGAGTGTAAAGTTTATGTTTAGATTTTTTTTTTGTATGTGAATGTCCATTTGTTGAAAACCTATCTTGTATTACCTCTGCTCACTTATAAAATAAGTTCACTATGTGTATGCAGGTCTATCACGTTCCACTGATCTACTTATTCTCTCTCATACTGTTACCACAAGTTTTCATTTTACTCATTGTATTTTACAGTGCATTTTAATATCAGGAAAGACAGGTTGATGTGTTATTCATTCAGAATTTTCTTAGAAATTCTGTATTTTTTAATGAAATAGAATTATTTTCTGAAGTGAAAACAAGTCCCAGTGGGATCAATCAATGCAATATTAGAAACTCATGATAAACATAGGAGAAATGAACAGCTTTACAAAATTGAGCATTTTCATCTCAAAAGAATTTATGTACCTTTAAATCTGTCTTTTATAGCTTGCAACAAAGTTTTATCATCTTGATTATATGGACAATGCACAATTTTTATAAAATGAAATGTTTCATATTTTGTAACTTTTGTTTCTATACTTAGTAATCTTTTTCCTTAACAAAAATATAGCCATATGAAATGTTATTATGTCTGTATAATTGGTAAATGTCAGCACACTGAAATTTAATTTTTAATTTTATTTCTATAAGGAAATTCATAGACCTCAGAGCAGTTGTTATCATAGACAAAAATCTTTTACCATATAAAGGCTCTTTGAGAGAGGAAGAGATGGGGGAGGCATGAAAGCTGTGAAGGGAAAAAGGTAGGGAGAATAGCAGAAAGTGCAAGAAGAGACAAAGAGGCAGAGAGAAAGGAGAAAGAGGAGAAGGCTCTTTTCACCATATGGAAAGCTCTTTATGGATGAATGGTAATTAACTAATGATTAATTAGTGGAGTTGAGTGGTAATCACTCTAAAATTTTCAGATTTTGCTATGTCCTTTGTGCAAATCTTTAAGAGGTTAGAAATGTTTAATGTTTAAAACATTATAAAAATTCAGTCATCAATATCTGAATTTAGTTAAAAGAATATTAGTATTCAAGCTATCTGATATAGCAAGATACAATGAGCAGTTTATGATTTTGATCTTCAATATTTCAGATCATATGGTGCTGAGAAAACTATTCTGGTTGCCAAAGAAATTTTTGGAATATTATTTTCTAAGTACATGGTACATTCTACTAAAGATGATTAGCTTATCGAAACTATACAATGAAAAATTATTTTTCAAATTGTGATTCAAATCACAACTCCTTTGTGAAGCTTCTATATGGTTGACATATATTGGCAGATTAATACCTGGTAAATTACTACATACAACCTGGAAACTAAAAGTCACACTAAACATCATATAATGTGCTTTCATTAAAACTTCATATTTTTATAGATTGGTTCACTAAAATATTTTATAAGAATAATTTTTGTCTTATGGATTTTATACATATGAAAATTTATATTATTTAAATACTTACTTACAATATTTTTATATAGACTTAAGACTCACTACCCACAAATAGCCCTGGAAGAGGAAATGGTAACCCTCTCCAGTATTTCCGCCTGGAAAATCCCACGGACAGTGAATCCTGTTGCACTACAGTCCCTGGGGTAGCAAAGAGTTGGACATGACTGAAGCGACTTACACACAGACACACAGACACACACAAATAGCAGAGAACATAAAACAATTGTTTGTAACAGACAATATTTAGTGGGTGAACCCAGCACCAATATGATGCTTGCTTAGTCTTTTAATGGCTGCCTTCATTTCCTGATTCCTCAGAGTATAAATAATTGGATTAAGGAGAGGAGTGATGATAGAGTAAAACATAGAAAGAAATTTATCTACAGAGTAACGATTAAATGGGAAAGCATAGATGAAGATGGCAGGGCCAAAGAAGAGAGTGACTACCGTGATGTGAGCAGAAAGTGTAGTCAGAGCCTTGGAGGATGCACTGGAGGAGTGCTGCCACATGGTGACCAGCATGACAGCGTAGGATATGAGCAAGAGAATGAAGCAGATCAGGGACAGAAATCCACTGTTCACGATCACCAAGAGCTCTAGGGTGTAAGTATCAGTGCAGGCAAGCTTGATGACCAGGGGCAGGTCACAGAAAAAGCTGTCCAATACATTGGGACCACAGAAAGGTAAATTCACAGTGAAAACCATCTGGCTTGTAGTATGGATAAGCCCAATCACCCATGAGAGCAGCAGAAACCCAGTGAGCACCCTGTGACTCATGATGGTCTTGTAGTGCAAGGGTTTGCATATGGCAACATACCTGTCAATGGCCATAGCTATCAGAAGAGACATCTCTCCACCCCCAAAGAAGTGCATAAAGAACATCTGGATCATGCAGCCCCACCAGGAGATGGTCTTGTGTTTTCTAAGGAAGTCTGAAATCCCTTTGGGAGTTGCAGTGGAAGAAAGACATAAATCAAAAAATGATAAGTTTGCCAGAAAGAAATACATGGGGGAGTGAAGATGGTTGTCAACTATCACAGAGATGATGATGATGAGGTTTCCTACTATGATGGCGACATAGACGAGAAAGAAGATTGCAAAAAAGAATATTTGAGTTTCTTGAGAAGTAGAAAGTCCCACCAAAATGAACTCAGAAACACTTGATCTGTTTTCAGGAGATCCATTCATCCTTCTGCAGAAGCTTTCTGAAAACGGAAAACAAACAGGGTGTGATAGGGACTAACAGGTCAGGGAACTTAATATTTACTTAAGCATGTTGCCTTTTATTCAGGGAAATGACAGTTTTGGCAGTATGAGTGCTTTGTAGGTATTTTGCAGTTGGAGATATTTCACAGGACCACGAGACCATAAAAATGTGATGATCATGGACCAAATTAAACCAAATTTTCTCATGGTTAGTGCAAGGCAAGTTCAGTTAGACAGAAAACGTGTCTCCTTTCATGTTCAGCTCCAGATCGCACTTTGTAGAAACACTTAAACTATTAGAGTGACAAAGGAGAATTTTAAAAATCTCCTGGAGGTAGATTTTTATCTTTTGTGAATCTCAAGAAGTACATTATGATATCCTCAGTATGCAGTAATAAGTTCACCTTACTAAAAAAGATATTATGAAGACCAGTTCAAGACTAAAGCAACATGAAGAAAATAAATAAGAAAAATTATAGCAAAAATTAAATGTGGAATTCAGAGAAAGATAACAGAAGAAACCAGTGAAACTAAGACCTTATTGTTTAAAAAATAATAATAAAAGCAATTATACTCTAAATAGGCTAAGAAGAAAAGAGAAGATGCAATTTTACAAAATCAGAAATGAAAGAGAATTCATCACTACTGGTCTACTCATCCCATAAACATTATGAGGATATTAACCAACTTGTAGGGTTTTTTTTTAAAATCACCTTATAGAAGCTTTGGAAAATAGTCAATGTTCTATAAGTTGCAAGAAAATAAATGCTCAATCAAGAAAAAAAAAAAACATTATGAGGATAGTAAATAACTCTATAAAATAAATAAAAAACTATTGCCAAAATCACATTATGTGCATATGCTTCCTGAAGTAGATTGATTAAAGACATGTATTATTGATAGAAAGTTAAGTATTGAGACAGCTGCATCGTTTACTGAGATCAAACCCTACTCATTTGCACCTGAAACACCAGATTAACTCTCAAAAGTGCAGATTCTCATTTCACCTGTTTTCCTAACTCTTCCCTTAATGTGGCTATGCAAATAAATGTATTCTATCTGTGCTTTCTTACCCTGCATGCTGCATGCTGTCACTTCAGTTGTATTCAACTCTGTGCGGCCCTGTGGACTGTAGCCTGCCAGGCAAGAACACTGGAGTGGGTTGCTTTGTCTTCATCCAGAACATCTTTCTGACTCAGGGATATCAATTGTATCTCCTGCATTGGCAGGCAAGTGTTGCAAAATCCATGACCATTTTTATCTGATATTTGCTTTTAATGCACATATTTTCATAAATACAATGAGTATGTAGAAATACCAAAAATACTGTCACTAAGACCATGAGCTAGTTATGTCACTAAGGTAGTCCTGTTCAACTTTTCACTCAAAGAGATGTAAGGAGCAGGGTGACTGAATTGTTTCTCATTGTGCATCTAAACAAACAAACTAAAAGTATGATGACCTGTTTGAACAGAGTAGCATCTTTGGATAGTTACTTCTCACCTTTGGACCTGTTTCCTCTCATTGATTTTCCTTAAGTTTCCTTTAACCTTTAACTTTGTCAAGGATAGACAGAAATAGATATGTGGTGCTGATTGAGGTGGACTCTGCTAAGCTAAATTATTTTTTAAAAATACAAATAAAAAGAAAAGTCAATATTTCATCTACATAAATTCACTTATCTCATTGCCTCTGCTGTTTATCAGACTTTAGCTCTATTGTTCAAGTTTAGTTACAGGCTCAATGATCATCTCTAGTGCTTTTATTGCCTTCTTCAGAGCCTAGAGTCAGTCCTAATGCCAAAATGAGAGAATAAAATAGGAAATATTTGATTATTTGTGGACCTTCAACTGTTAATCACACAGTATAGTTTTTGGAGACTCAGTATATCCAGTTGAACATAATGAACATTATATGCACTTAGGTATGTCAGATTACTATCAGTAAGACACACATTTGATAAGTGGCCATACTCTAACCATTATGTTTGACACCATTACTCAGTGTAGCATAGAAACTTCTTTCTTTCAGGTGGTAGTCAGATAGAAAATGGAAATCTTTATTATGTGAATCAACATTCCTTCTTTGTGCTTTGTACTCTTAATGCAAGACAATGATTTTATCTAAGCTACAGCCACTGGAGCTTATGTCTTTCTGAAGTATGCAAATAAGTAGATTAAAAGGTGCTCATTGACTTGGCAAACATCACATCCTAGACAGGGTGATTCTTCTCCTTTCTTTTTTTTTTACAAACTCAGTTCAGTTCAGTTCAAGTCAGTCGCTCAGTCGTGTCTGACTCTTTGTGACCCCATGAATCTCAGCACGCCAGGCCTCCCTGTCCATCAGCAACTCCCAGAGTTTACCCAAACTCATGTCCATTGAGTCAGTGATGCCATCCAACCGTCTCAGCCTCTGTCGTCTCCTCCTCCTGCCCTCAATCTTTCCCAGCATCAGGGTCTTTTCAAATGAGTTAGCTCTTTGCATCAGGTGGCCAAAGGATTGGAGTTTCAGCTTCAACAGCAGTCCTTCCAATGCACCCCCAGGCCTGATCTCCTTTAGGATGGACTGGTTGGATCTCCTTGCAGTCCAAGGGACTCTCAAGAGTCTTCTCCAACATCACAGATCAAAAGCATTAATTCTTTGGTGCTCAGTTTTCTTCATAGTGGAACTCTCACATCCATACATGTCTACTGGAAAAACTATGTTTGTTTAAATATATGGCAATTTTCAGACTGCTGTCACTGGATAGTTTGTCATATATTCCTCTCCATAATTCTGAACAAGTGTAATGGAAGCATCAATATTTTGTATGTGTTGAAACTCTATGATTGACCAAGCCATGAATCAGGCATTTTATCCTTGCAGTTTTGTTATCTATCTCCCTTTAAAAATAGTTGCATCCCTAGAAACAAATATTCAAATTCCTCTATATTATGTAGTACCTCAAAGAATAAACTCATTTAATCTGATCAGGGTAGCCAAACAATTAAAATATCTTGAAAACATACCCCTTTCTCGAAGAATAATTTCTTTGGCCTGAATTACTGCCTTAATTCCCAGTAAACATGACTAGAGTCATTTTTATTTTTTTTCCACTTATATAAAAATAAGTTTTTTTCCAGTGCAATTTCACTCTTCGACCCTCACCTCAGTTATTATTTTGGCATTTGAATTTTATCATTTATAGACACATTTATATCATAAATGAACCAACATGATAGATGTGATATGTAGGTAGAGTAACACATCAGGATTATGTAACCTACCGGGTGCACTTGTGCTTTAGAAGTAACATCACTATGAAATCCTGAATGCTCAGTTATTATTCAGTGATTTTATTTTCTGCTCTGGACTTCAAACTGCTCGGTATATAAATGCATCTCTTAATAGGAGGTATAAAGGAGAAAACTCACTTGATTGTTTCAAGGTCCTCAGAGACTGTCAGTAAAAAGTAACTGGGATTGTTAAAAGAGAGTTTTGCCATTACAGAAATTGAGACACCATTTTTCAATTCTCAAATTGACAATTCTTTAAAGGCTACAGTAGATAATCAAGGAGGTTTCAGAAGCTGTCACTAGTTGTGAATTGTGGGATTCTTGTATTTAAGTTGATTATGAATTCACCAAGTGTATGAGCTGTGTGGAGTCTCCCTAAAGTGCTTTCCAGAAAAAAGCATTAACTTAAGTGTTTTGGTTGGTAGAGGGTAAGCAAATTTAGGAAAATGGATCTACAATAGACGATGGAGTTGAGAAAACTATAAATCTATTCATTTGACTTTACCAATCTGAATATTTATAATTTGATAATTAATGCATTTATTCAATTAAACCAATTTATATTTGGTTAAATATATGCCTATTTGGTTAAAATTAATATTTTAAACCAATTAATATTTGGTTAAAAAAATGGTTATTTTCAGACTGTTATCAGAAGATAGTTGTATATTCCTCTCTAAAATTTCTGACAAGTATAATGATAGCATCGATATTTTGGAAATGGTGACTTTCTCTGATTTTTTTCAAGCCATGAATCAGGCATTTTCTCCTTGCAGTTTTCTTAACTCTTTTCTAATATTGCATCCCTAGAAACAAATATGCAATTTTCTCTACATTATGCAATAATTCAAAGAAAAATTTAACCAGTCTGATAAGTGTAACCAAAGAATTTAAGCTTGCCTAGATCCCTTTTCTGTACACATAAATTATTTAGCCTGAATTGCTGTATTATTATCTTAATTCCCTGCAAACATCATTAGAATGACTTTTATATCTTTTTTCCATTTTTATAAAAATCAAACTTTTTCCAGTTTAAGATCTCCTTTCCCTCCCTTCTTTCAGTTATTATTTTGGCATTTGAATTCATCAGTATGGACGGACACACTTACACACACTTCTGTAAATGAAGTTTGTGATGGGTGTGGTATATAGGCAGGGAAACATGTCAGGATTATGTAACTTACCTGTTGGACTTCAGAAGTAAAGTCAGTATGAAACCCTGAATGCTTATCTTCATCGTCTAAAGGTTTTTGTCTCTGAACTTCAAAAGACAACAGTATATAAAAGTATCCCTTGATGGGTGACATAAAGGAGAAACCTCATTTGGTTATTTCAGAGTCCTCAGGGACCGG